AGTTATATTGGGCGTAAACTAGACAGCTTAGCCAACGCGTTAGTGAACGTCTCCCATCGTGGTTTGGCAGAGGACGGACAAAAACAATCCGTTGCTCAGTTTTGTCACATTCAATTGATGTAGGTCATGTGGTGGAGAAAACGAGAGCCTTCAAAGTAACTCATCGTATCCCACCGAATCTCTCCAATAGACTTTGTATTCGTTTACTCCACATAGCTGAGGCGATAGGCATTCGAACTACTAAACCTAAACTATGCATTCAAAAGAAGTTCGTGCAGCCATTATCCCTCCCTTGGCCTATTAAGACATAACCAACTAATGACTTCTACACCACCCTTTGTTTATATTTTCAACCCCTTTCTTATCATCCCTTAATCTTATCTTCATTATAGACGTGTTTCATTTCCTCCCCTTACAATCTAACATTACTTAATCGGTTCATTTGTTTTTACTAGCCTTTATCGACTACTTCCACCTGAACAGTTGTTTGTTTAATCATGCTGTTTTTCATCATTCGTGTTATCACAGACTGCCTCACTTTTTCATCCTTATTATTGATAAGACCATTTTTAATATTCATATAACTTATCATTTTCTGAACATATCCCCAAACAAGTGTCAAAGTCACGCAGACTTATCGGCTTTCTACTCAGGAACTTCTACAGAAATGAGTCTAGAATTCTATTGTACAAGGTTTGTGTGCGTCCTTTATTTGATTACTTTTCACTCATGTACAGTAGTATACGCATAGAGGACAAATTGAAAGTCGAAGGAGCGCAAAGGTACTTCACGTTAAAATTACTTGGAACCGAAAATGGTGCGAACTACTCCACTAGATGTGATACCCTAGGACTAGAAACACTATGGCTAAGACGCCTGAGACTAAACTTAACACTTTACTATAAGCTTCTAAACCACTTAGTTTTTACCTCTACTAATGGCACTCGACTTTCAGATGACAATGGCTACAAACTAAGACACACTAAGGGTACAGTAGCTATCGAACAATGTGAAACAGCCACCAGGCAAAAGTTTTACTTGATTAGGTATGCACAGATACGGAATAAACTGCCAATGGAAATGCATCAAGCAAGTACATTGGCCTCCTTCAAAAAGGTGCTTAATGACAAACTACAAGAGTTTGCAAACGATAGTAGTTCTAGTTCCTATCTGAGAGCCTCCGAAATTATAGGTCCATTTAATGTATAAGCTTAAATACTACACCTGTTGTTTTTTGCCTATATTTATAATTCTAGATAAAACATTAACGGTTACGATACGTATCCTCAAACAGACAAGAAATCTCGTTTGTAAAACTACTACCCAACACAATAAGTGGAATAAAATGGACATAGACCGACAACATGAAAAAGATATAACTCACCACAACATCATATGGACAGATGTACGCTAGTTGGGCACCGTATATCCCTCACCAACTGCAACCCACCTTTCCTTAGATAATGTGATGAACTTATATCCATAATGTTGCTGAGCAGTTAATATTCTCAACTCCTGTCGGAACAGCTGAAATTCAAAAACCTTCCTCACGCTAAGAAAATACCCACAAGCAGTAGAAATCTATTAATTAATGCGTCTGAAGCTGATGTATTTACTCCCAACAATGACATTGCAGATCAAATGAGATAAACATATCACTGATTTCAAAATAACACATCAATGAACTATAATTCAAGGATTCTGCACACAACGAAGTTATGTATGAAAATTGACCTCAAGCTTTATTTTTTTCCCAGGCACTTATAATCCATCCACCAAAGACCTGTTTTTTTAATGTGAAGACTATACTTCTGTATTTCCTGATGTGTTGCAGTCACTGACAATCTAGCAGATTTTTCCAACTGTGCACAGAAATGATTGTATATAAGTGAAAAGGCTGTTTTATACTACTGGGATTAACATATGTCAAGTGTATGTATAATCTCCAGCGAACATGTAAGGCATATCTTGCTACTGCCTGTAAATTGCGATTGAATTATATGGTTCTATTTCTGTAACAATTTGATGATGCCTGTAAACTGGCGTCCCTCATGTATTGTACTATGAGAATAAATCTATTTATTTATTTACTATTATTATTATTATCATTACTACCACTATGACTAATTGCACAATTTATATTCACCATCGTATTATCCTACAGACAAAACACCATGATTGGTTTATATTTGAATTTTTTCGTAAACTTATATATATTAGAGTTAGGTCTGATGAGATCTAATTGGAAACAATATTGTTCGCTTAAATGTGTTGCTAATGAAAATGACAACAATTCTGGGAGTTACAAGTCATAATTTTAGCGTGGTTGCAACACCCAGCAATTGTTAAATGACCACTTGACGAAAATCAAATCTATAGAGGAAGTGCAAAAGATTTAGTAAAACATGTTCACTTTTGATTTCAAAATGAAGTCTCCTTGCCAAATGTATTACTGTAAAAGCCTACACAGTTGACAAATTAACTCATAACACTGAAGTGGAAAAGCTTCTACTTTTCCTTACTGAACTTAATATGGAGAGTCTTGTGAAGTAATTGCAGTGTTATCTATGCAGAAGAGAGGGCAATGCATTCATAATCTCTTGCTTCATATGGAATTGCAATGCAACTCGATGCACAATAGCATTTATATGAATAAACTGAAAAAAGCCTTCCTCACCTTGTAAACAACTTAACTTTATTCCAAAAAAGGTAATGAGTTTCTTTCACATATAAGCCTAAGTTATGTCCACGAAATCAGAATATTGTAGCAATTAAATCTTCCCTCAAAATAAAGGCCGCTTGAAACGTAAGTTCACAACAATGCTGCATATTATGACCTTAGTGCTAATGCTTTTTGTCTTAGAATGATAAGCTGACTGTTATGAGTGCATGAAACTTAAATTAATGCTCAAATTGAGCTACGAATATCAACAACCACAAAACCAATTAAGACAATAACGTCTCAATAAATAGGCCCAATACACCAGCATGATTCCATGAAAATTCAAAAATACACGTTTAAATTTTGAACTTCATACTTTATTTAGTCCTTCACATTGCTCAGATATCAGTATCAAGCTACATTTCCTGATACAAGTGCTGAAAATGTAACGCAGTCCAAGTGCATTATGCCGCCGATATTATGTGGGTCAGAAGATTTTTTGATGCGAAATTTCATTTGAAAAGCTTGTAAAAGACATGAATTGTTACTAAAACAACATAGCGATGGACACGAACGCCAAAATTAGAGGGACATGCAATAAAGCCACTCGAACAAAATGGTAGCATTATAAATTGCGATCGTACATTATCATTCTAAGGACTATGCAGCAGCTTCCTGTACATTCACTGTAAATGTATTTTCAATAACATGCTACCTTATTTACTGATTTCATTGGACTTTACTGTTGCCCAAAAAGTTTGTTCGCTCTGTAACCTCATTAACTCCTGAAGAAATCGTTGAATATTGGCTGGGCGGTAAGCAAGTCAAACGCTACTACAGGACTTGAGCAGAACTTTCCATAGCATCTCATGAGGCTACAAAGCTCAGAAATTAAATATGTAGAGGCTAATCGTGCCGTTTATACCACTCTTCGTCTAACCCTTAGAGAACCCTGTTAACTCATGGTCTACATTTTGAAGGAGTCTACAGCTAGTCCTTAACAGTTAGTTGGACTGTCGTAAATATTATTAAGAATTGCCGATTTTGTTTATGGAATCTTTATTCACTACATTACCGCCAAAATTTCTGATGGAGCCCCACAGAAAATGATTCCATGGAAAACTATCCCCTGAAGTCAATCTGAAGCACTTCCCGTCGAAGTATTATTTCAGATAAAGCTAATATATTAGACGGAGCGTGAAAACGTAAAAACGACTCCATTACACCAGCTTCACCATACGACGACCATTAGGTTAAACCCAACCCCTGTACTTTCACACATGTGCACTGTGGAATTTACTGCCGGGAGACACAGTAAAAAAGACTGAACATATGTGTCACACTAATGCTTTTGCAGCTTTTGAGCTCAGAGATTTCATTGTTCTTTTTTCCCCTCTGACCACATTTTGGGATCTCCTCTTAATGCAGGTAATCAATCACTGTTCATGTGCATGACTTTTTAATCACTCCTTGGGTTTCGCTTGGAGAATGTAGCTTCAATAGCGCAACTCTGTTGCTTTCGGTTAGCTGCTCTGATTTGCAGCTGGCTCCTTTATTGCCCAATAGCTTTTATTTCCTTTCCGCATGAACTCCCCCATGGCATCAACGGACGTACACCAAACTCATCACTTCTCATTCCACTTCTGATGGTGCATTTACATGATATTTGATATTTCTTGAGGGTCTCATCAACCTTTGTTCCATCCGTCATCACCTCCTTAGGCATGTTTGCTACTTTTATTTATTTAATTTTTGATTACAGATTGATTTCACACCGTATTTTTGGTACAGGTGTGGAATTTTCAGCATGTGATATCGGTAGCCCTAATTTTGCAGGCCAACCATAGATATAAGGTGTGCATCGGCAGGGGATCGAACCCCGGACCATGTGCATGGTCGGCGAGAGTCCCAATCACTACGCCACCAATTCAGTGCATGCTAGAGTTCCTTGTTGCTTATTTTTCCTGACCAGCCTTCTGATTCTCAGCCTGAAGCGAAGGAGGCGGTTGATGAAAGCCCTCATTTGAAAGTGTATGTCAAAAGTCGGGATGCACTGGATGAGCTGACATTAGAGTCGAAAATTTAGATATTGTCCTTGTGATGAGGGCTGACTTTAGAAAGATTAAGGCCCGGCTTGAGTTCTCAATCCCGGCTTTGGAATCTTAACCCGTGACATGCTCAAAAACTTCATATTGATTGTTAACTCTTTAATCTACAATTAGATTTTAGAAATCTCTGCGGAAGTATATGAAGTCCGAACTTGCCTGCTAGTTGAAGAACATTCTTAAAATTCATGTCTTCCTTAGTGGTTTCCATTGAGAGTTGATTATTTCGATATCGTTATTTGAAACTGAGCTGGTTTCAAGGTCGTGGCTTTTGTTAAGCATAGCGTTAGATTTCGTTATGTCTATTGATTTGAATACAAATGGACAGGCTCTTAGCTCAGCTGTTCACTGTGTGCTTGATGGAAAGTGGTCATGGTAACTAATAATACTTAATTTTAAATATTTCAGGGTTATATTTGGTTATATGGGATTAACATACACTTTGGACGTTAAAAACCAAGGTATGTATAAATTTCTTTTGTGTATTCAGTGTTTTCCGATTTCCAGGTCATGATGTTGGTGATTTTGTAAATGAATTCACTTCTGGGAGGGTTTTATATGGTTTTGTTCGCGTTACTGTGAATTCGGCTCCTGCTAAATTTGTTTTGATTGCATGGGTAGGTGTAATTATCTATGAGACGTTCATATTCTATACATGTTTTCGTAACTTTGAAGCGATATTTGGAGGCATTTTGGCTTCTTAATTATTTTCACAAATCAATTGTGTGATTTGCCTGTTGTGAGACCGAATATAATTAGATTCCCTGTCGTCGTCATGTAATGTCATTGTAGGGTAGGTTACTTCGCTTACACATTTATTCAAGTTGAAAATGCTAGTTGTAGATATTGTCGTTAGCATAAGAGGTATTATTATATACTATTATTACCTTGGGTTCCGAGTGGAACATAGGGCTCCACTAAAACATCACTTTTGATGCTGTCCTCTCCAGCTGGGTCCACGATTGCCCATAATCTCTCATCTCCTCTTCGCCACACGATCTCCTGCATGTCACCCAAGGATGACCCACTCGTCGCTTCCCATTGGGGTTCCACTCGAGGGCCGGTCGCGATGTCATTTGACAGCCTCCTCAAGGAATGCCCAATCCATCTTCATTTTCTCCTACATATTTGTTGAGCAATAAGCTCTTCGTTGGTTTGTTGCCACAGTTTCTAGTTGCTAATTCTTTCCGGCCATTTGATCTTGAGTATGGAGCCAGCGAAGGCAGCTGTTGGTAAAAGTCTGTAACTTGTTGGATATGCTTTTCGTGACACGCAGTGCAAGTTTCTGACCCGTATAGAATAACCGATTGACTTCACATCGGTGTTAAAATCCGAATTTTGTTGTGCATGCTGCTGAGTGCAGCAGATTTCCGGACTGGTTTCAGGTTGATGAAGGCGTATCTTGCCTTTCCGATTCTGACTTGCTTTAACATCATCCGTTCCGCCTGTGGTTGAAACGATGCTTCCTAGATAAGTGAAGGGATTAAACTCTGTTGAATCTCTCCCGTTGATGGTGATTGGTGCTAGTTGTTTTTGCTGTTGGTTGGTTGGTTATCTTCATCACCTCCGTCTTTTCTATGTTTACTTGGAGTCATGTCTTCTCTCACAGTTTGTTGGTTTTTGCCTTCAAGTCTTCGAGTTTGTTTAACATTAAACATATATCAAATGAAAAATTCAGATCTCCTAAAATCTTCTTGTCGGTCCAACGTATTCCTGTCTTCTCACTCCCCACGGAGAGCCGCATAATCCAGTCCACCACAATTAAGAATATCATCGGTGATAATAGGCAGACAGCCTTCTCTTACTCCTGCATTTACTTTGAACGCCTCGCCGAGGTAGCAGCCTTTTATTAGTTTTATGAAATTTTTTGTTCTTATTTATTCACTATCAGTCTGTAAAACTGAACCAAACACAATTTCATATAAAACCGTGTGGTTATACTATTTTACGGCCAGTACATCAACCTCTCCCGTGCATCCGGAATTATCTAAACATTGATATCAGACAATTCATAATCGTAAGCATGTGTTAATTAGAATTATAAAGTTTAGAAGTTATTCACCACAATATATCAGTGACAGCTTGTGAACAAGGTTTGCATTCTACTTGATCCTCAGCTTTCATGCTATAATGTGTCACTGTATTTAACGTACTGATCTCTTGCACAATCGTTACTCAGAATAGTCAATTACTTGGTCCAAATTCATGTGCTGTATAATTTTAACCTATACGAGTTTGCACTGTACAAAGACCTAGTGTTGACAGTGTATTTAGTCCGAATGAATATGCGCAAATGTTTCAGCATAGTATTTTATATGGGTGACATCATAACAGTTATTTAGTGAGCCTAGTCTTGAAACTTTCTATCGTTTGTATTTATTTATTTATTAATATACATAGAAGTATATATATATATAGGCTATCTAAAAATATACAAGTCTGGGAATTTTTTGTTAACCTATATAATTCGTGACTTTTTTAATCATTAACTTCAAGTCTATAAAACAATTCAGATGTGCTCATTTTGACAGTTCCTTCTATCTCTTGTCCGTGTTGGAATTTGCATATTTTCACTCAGTGGTTTTTCTTGGATAATTTCCTTTATGTAAAGATGTGACTGCTCAAAATGATACTTAAAATACGCTTTAAGACTTTATCTAACTCAAGAAGGGTGTCATTTCGCAGTTGAGAGAAGCACAGAAAAAGTTAACAAAAATAAATTCGTTCTTGTGTTTAGACTGAGTCTAATGAAATAAAGCTCTTCATACTTTCCTTACTGAGACATTATGCTTAATATATATATATATATATGTATATATATATATATATATACATCTTCTGCTGTGCATTGTAGTATGCTGCCACTTTTATTTTTAAGCATTTATACGCCAATGATGTGTGATTAATGAAAAGGACTAATCTCTAGGATTGTAATTAATCACGTATACACGGTTCTAATCCACAGAATCACTGAAAGCTGGTTTCAGTTATGCTGAATGCTCTGAGGCTTGCATTACAAAACAGGGAGTTGATTTTATTTACTTGAAAGTAAATATATATTTTAAAATTATTTAAGAACACTGAATTTGTGAAGATGAAATAAGGTTTTATCACGCCCACTTTCCTGTTTATCTGCGATAAGTGGGGTATAATAACAGGTTTTGAAGTTAAATATTCCAGTTGAATTCGTTTAGCATCTAGACCATATGGTTTGAGGAGTTGATGTAAGCGTTCAATTCTATGTTGGTTTGTCTATTTGATATACCACAAAGCTACACTTCTATTTGTGTTTTGAGCATAATTTGCCGCTAATCATTAGATTGTGTAAGTTTGTTATTTGACTCATCTTCCTACACTTTTAAGGAAATAAACTAAATTTTAATGCTTTCCCATTGGGTATTTTATTTCTTCCATTTTGAACAGCAAGGAGAAGGGTCATCTGAAAGTTTCAAAATAGCATGTGCAAGGCATATTGACTTTGTGAAACGGTTATGTCGAGTAAGCCAATGATAATGTACTTGATTTTTTTGAATTGCTTTATTCTTGTTAGTACACTGTAGATCATTTCGCACCTACGGTTATTTATTTCGAAATTGTCTAGTTTTTACATTTTATCAAGTAATTCGCATTCACTGCATAGTTTTTCTACAAATACATAATTTTAAAGCACACTTAGGGTAGGTGGTTAACTATTTTGTGCATTCGAAATCAAATTGTTAGAGTCATCTTATACGCTTGATATATCTTTTACACTGATCCCCATAGTGTTTGCTAGTGCATGAGTCAACCGTCTATCGTATGTAACTTTTTAAGCTGATAGGTGAGATACCTTTTAAACTCATTAAACCGCAATTAGTCCATACCTTTCAAGTAAAATGTTAAGCACCGGATTATCATCACCATCAGAATGAAGAACGACATGTGTAGGAGAAACGTGTACAAAAATTCTGGATATATTAGAAAGTAGCTGTTTCATTGTGTTGTAGTTCCTGCCGACAAATCTTCATATATTACAGTATAGAAAAGCGCAAAGTATATTAAGTACAATTTAAGGCTGGTAAGGAGAGTGGTGTCATTTGTGTGCACCAGGATGTGTGAGGGCTGGTAATGCTTCTCGGTTACTCAAACTTTCGTCCCGTAAGCAATTCCGTAATCCAATGTGTCACAGTTGTAAAACCTAAGATCGATCAACTAATCTGAGTTTTATATGTCCAAACCAAGTTCACTTTTAACGGTTTTATTTTATTGGAAGCCAAATCAGAAGATGATCCAAGTTCTGTTGTTTTGCGTTCTTTGTTAACTAATATGCTATAAAGCTTAACTAGCAATGTTCTCAGAAACACTAGGTTGAGAAATCAAAGCATTTATGTTTACCGTAAGCTGCACGAAATACTGTTCCAAGTTATATTTGTATATCCAATAGGCTTAGAAAATATAAGGCGTTTCAGTCAATACCAAAATTGTTGACGTACTACTATTGTAGTAATTTTGAAAAGCCATCTTCCAGTTTATGAAGGTTGATCAGTTGTACCTACAAGGTTGAGATGCAGGTCAAAGGTTTAAGGATTCTACCATTAACGGGGTTTGAATCCTGCTCCACTTATTTAAGCCTGGGCAACTGCTTAGTATCATCAACCCTCACACAGTAAGTGTGGTCCATAGCCTGGTGTGTGAGCAGTCTGATCTTGGAAGCTGAGTTCTAATCAATATGCAGTCACCTTTAGTGTTCTGGTCGTACATACAAAGCAGGTCATAAAGGTGTTTATTTAATCAGAGTACTATGTGTGTACCACTTAACTGGTATTGGTTAATCTTCCACACTACAAAAAATTGATTCTTGGTCTTAATGTTGTAACATAAGTATTACAAGCTTATACTGTTTCGAAATTAGAAAACTTGAGCAACTCTGACATTTAGCTTCCCTTCAAAATACGTGCTTTATGTGTTACTTGCTAGTGTGATTTTTAACAGAATAATATCATAGTGTAGTTTTCTTTACCCTTCTTGTTATACTGTTAAGTTTGTTCTTTATTGAGTAAAACTTCTTCGTTTTACAGACTGTTCATCTTACGATTCAAGCAAGAAGCGAAGCAGATTTAGATTGGAACGAAATTGTTACAAAAGTGGGCAATTTAACGGGGACTGTTTGTAACACTCAAGAAGTAAAGTCTAATGATTCAGATGATGAATTCATACCCAAAGTGAGTATCAAATCTTTTTTTACCATCTCTTTTAAAAGTTTATTTTTTACACACATGACACTAGATATTGTCTTTAATTTTGTCTAACACTTAATTGTGGTGTATAGTGATGAAATCAAATTTGCTTTATTTGCCTTATTTATCACACAGCACCTAAATACTTAAGAATTCAACTTATCTCTCCTGTATTATTCAGGATGACTGGTTTAACACTGTAGAAATTTTCATAAAGGTGTATTATTTCATGTTGCAGTGTATCAAAAAAACAAATCGAAGTAGACTAGGGAAATGTAGTGAAACTACAACAGGTGAATGGGAAGGTGTAATTAGATGAACATTGGTAAACACTTGTAGTGGTTGGCTTACTTTTCAGTAACTTTCACTCCTCATGATGTTCGCAGCCGGCCGGGATGAGTCAATTCAGGTGAAGCTACAAATATTCACTAACATTTTCTGGTCTTTGACTGCAGGTTGTCACCTTTCTTTACTACTAATGAAAGTATCAAGCTTCTTTGGAATATGTATTACCGTCGTACTCAGATATTTACCTCCTCACTAAGTACATATCTAATTTTCTTACGTAAAGACTTCGTAGCCGCTTACCTCTTATATCTGTTCAGCTGCAGGCATATAAGTGCACGAACTAGTGCATAATCGAAAATGACGAAAGTGTCCTAAAATGGAGGGTTACATTCTGTCAATAGTTTTTAGCAAAGTGATTGCTTTGTGTCTAGTGTTTGTTCATTATGTGAGAAAAATTGTAGGAGACGATCATCATTGTCGAGTTGTCAGTGTTGGAACCAAAAGACATCCACAACATGCCTTCCCGTTTGCCTTATCTTCCTTACTAAAGAATTAAATTTATTTATTTCCACTTTATCACCAATTTTGACAGGTTTCGATAAAACATGTCCTTCACTTCATTAGAGATCTAGTCAGTAGGTGCTTAAGCGGAGTTTGTGAAAGCCATGGACGAGTTTTACTAGCTTACCGTATTCCTGTGCATGTCTGCAGTCGGAAAGCACACAAGCGAATGCCCACTAAGATAAAATTGAGCAGTGAATTTTCTGCTATCGAACTTAGTGCTATCCCTACACCAAAAAATCCACGAAAACTAGCAAAAGAATCTGATATATGTAGGGTGAATTATGTGTATTCATCATGTCGGCCAAGTTGGGGTCTAGTGAATAACCGTACTTGGGTGTCGCATACTTGTCATAGAGTCACAGCTTACATCTAAAGCCGTAGGCGTCAGAGTTATGGCTACGAATATTTGTTGCCTCATTTGACATAGTGTTTGGATGTTGGAAGGTGTAATATAAAGTTCTCAGCGCAGTTTCACGAGATTGGAAAATGGTGTTTCTCTGGTTGGAGTTCTTAGCAATGATCACAGAATTAAGAAAAGGTGAATAAACTGTCTTGGGGAATAGTATTAGCTATATTAGTAAAGCATTCTCATGTTAAAAACGCGTCTCATTCAAAACGTAAAGGAAGAGTCGGTACAGTCTTGAGGAGACTCGTTCTTTATCCCCGTAAGTCTTCAACAGACAACTGAAGTTAATGGTAAAACGTCAAGAATTTCAGTTTAACTGGTTACTTTACAGAGATGCATGAATATATGCATACATAAATACGTGATTCAAACGAATATATGGAATGAGTTAAGGCTACTAGGGGGGTGAATAAGTTATAACAGGTTTAATTAGACTTTGGGAAGATCTAAGAGAAGCAGTAAGTTAGGAGTGTGAACTGAATCAATTAGAAATGTATTCCGCCATTTCAAATAGAATAGTTAGTAATTAAGCGAGAAGCTTGATAAGTACGTTAGTGATGTTAATGCTAAGAATGGTAATGAAAAAGGAAAACATTAAAGACGAATTATCTACTCGCAAACAGACTGAATAAAAATAAACTAAGAAGCTTTGAGGAACAATCCAAAGCTCATGGGACCATGTAGGTAATAACGGAGCAATAGCATACTAAAATATAAACGATAATGGATTCTTTGTTTGTTATGTGGTGGAATATTCAAAAGGAAGGAAATACAATAGAACAAAAGCAATAACAGGTGACACTGATACACAGAGAAAAAATAACGTTAGGCGATATGCTCACATTTCATTGGAAATGCCATCATGTGGATTTAGTGTGATTACCGTTTCCTGTACGTATATGGGTTCGATTTATGAATGTCACAAGTTTTATTCCATTGTGTGCTAACGGTTAGATTGGTAGCATCAATGTCTGAACCTCAACATAGATGCTGCGTTGCATTGTTTTACCTTACTTGTTTTCCTTGTCTCCATTTTGTTTATATTCATGTACTCATTTCCGATTTGCATGGTGATCTGTAATCAATAGTTTGCAGAATAACAGACTGAAGAGTTCTGCTGACACTTATCTTACTTTTGTTGCTTTTTTACTACGCACTCAGGACCTTCAAGTTAACAGGCGAGTTTATTTTTGGTGATCTCTAAATGGTCAATAAGCTCGCCTTGTGGTCTGAAGGTCCCGAGTTCGATCCCTGGTGGGGTCGTGGGCGCATTCCTCTGGGGGGGGGGGCAGAGGAGAACGAAACAGCCGTCCTGTACTCTTTGCTTTCCAACAGTTTTCCAAACGAACTCAGTTCGTGATGAAACGTGAAGCCAATTAAATCCATCCAAATTAATGCTTAAAAACAAACAAATTCATTGAGGAACCTATTGCATTCTTATTTGACACACTAGATAGGTCATACATCAAGAGATGTTAGTCAATGAATATCCAGGAGCGGAGAAACGTGACAGGCACTAGAAAGTTTTGGGTTTTAGTTAAGATGAAGATGAATAGAACACCTACTTTGTTCGGTATGATAATGATTAAGTGCACCCATTTTATTATTGTCCCATAGTTAAAACCTGTATTTCATCACTTATCACTTAATAGCTTTTGAAAACCATACAAGTTGGTTCCATATCTCATTCTTAATTAAGTACAACATAATTTCTTTTAGCTCCGGCGTAAAATTAGGTTGCTCATCAAAGGAAAAGTGTGTACTGTGTAGCACGTCGCTTCATTATACTTTACGACTGGGATACATACCTACTAAAGGTAGATATACAGGAGGAACTGACGAGGATATCAAAGCGAGGATCGGGAAAGCAAGGCAAGCTTTCATTTCTCTCAAGTTTGTGTGGAGGTCAACAGCACTACTCAGCATGAAAAATAAGATGCGGATTTTCAACTCCAATGTAAAGTCAGTGCTACTTTATGGATCAGAGACTTGGCGCGTCATGAAGGGCATTTCGAACAAACTACAGACTTTCATCAATAGCTGTCTTCGCTCCATTCTACTCAAGATCAGCAACAGGGATTTATGGGAGCGAACCAACTCAGCAGGAACCGATTATGCAACAAATATTCAGCAAGAAATGGAGGTGGATTGGCCATACTCTGAAATAAAAACCATCGGGTGAGTGACATCACACGCCAGGCCATCGCTCAAGTGGAACCCGAATGGGAAGCGGCGAGTTGATCGTCAGTGCGAGGGTGGGGTGACATGGAGGAGGTCATGTGAAGAGGAGATGAAAGCATGTGGGCAGATGTGGAGCCAGGTGACAACGTTGGCGGAGAACCGAACGCAATGGAGACGTGCGGCTGAAGCCCAATGTTTCTCTAGGAATTAAGGGAGACAATAATAATAATAATAAAGGTAGATATGAAAAGATTAGAGGTTTTTGACCACTGGCACTTTTGATCAATTACTTGTATTAGGTCTGTGAAGAAAAAACTAAGATAAAGGAAGGCATGATCTCTTAACCACATTTCCAGATATTGGTTTGTCAAAATTTCTCATGCAACTGTTTTATAGTATAGCTTTCAGTAATGTGACATACCTAATGCATACTTTCAGTGATAAGTGTAGAGGTTTATTAAGTGAACATTAATGTAAGAGGTTTATGTATACAATACATAATTTGTATATTTCTAGTGAGTATAATCATGAGTTAGAACGATGCCTAAATTTCCACTCCATTTATTTTGATTGATTTACTAAATTATTTTGAAAATTGCATATTCACTTAATCAGTTTCAAGGTATAACTGGAGTGAATTTAGTGGAGAATATCTATTACCAAGATTGTTTAATATTTGTCCACTGTAAAGTGTCGTATTTTATAACAACTCTATGCTTGTTAGTGTATTAGGTGTGCACTACTTGTTTCAAGTGATAGTTATGCACTCTTGTTATATCCTTTCAAAAGATGCTACCGATTGGATATATATGTGTGTGTGGAGACGATGATGTAATGGTTTAAATAAAACAGGCTATGCAGAATAATCAATTTTTTCTATGCTAATATCTGTGATCCTAATGGCATAAGGATATTAAGGTTTCTGTTTACATACAGTTTTCCAAATATCCTTTGATTTTGTGCAAATTTTTATCAGTTAGTACCGCTCATAATATTTTTTTCTCTTGAAAAAACTTTTTCAGATGTGCATTGACTGTAAACTTTTTTATACACTTCAAATTCGATAATAAGTTTAAGTTGATTGGTTTAAATTCAGTAGTATTGGTATAAGGATGTAATTTTCTACTTTAGTTCTTCCTCGAGTTATTTGATAATATCAACAACGGTTGGTAAGATCACGCCAAAGTTGTTTTTTTTGTCAACGTATTCGATGCAGTAGAACTTCACTTGCTTATCAACCTCGAGAGATTATCAAAATGATGTTTAATCCAACCATACATTCTTTCAGATAATTGTAGATTCAGTAATAATGTGTTGATCAGAACTTTCACCATTATATTCTATGTGTTAATTCACATCTCTCTTCCTGTTGGTATGTTATCTGTTTAGTGAAGCACCCTAAAATTGTTAAATGAGGCGTTTTATTTCATTAATTAACGTCCATTGTTGTGGTAATAAGTTAGTTTGATTAATTTAACATAGATCTGAACTAAAAACTGAGGGGTAACGAAATCATTTTAAAAAATAAAAAGAATATCCTTCATTCCTGTTCTGGCTCTACAATTATATATATATATATATATAATATATAATATATATGGCACTCTACTCGTACTCATGCAGCCAGGTGAGGGCTTATGGCGAGTTGTCATCTGAAGTGGTGACGACTAGTGGTGTCCGTCAAGGATGCCCATTATCCCCATTCCTATTCAATTTCATCATAGATGTACTAATGGACTTAACCCTAACTCACTTCAGCGACTCAGGGATTGACTTGCTACCAGGGAAGAATCTCGTTGACTTAGAATATGCGGACGATATAGTCCTTCTAGGCGAGGACTCTGACAAAATGCAGAGTCTACTGAACACCCTGAGCAACAATCTCCGCATGTTTGGCATGCGATTCGCCCCTATAAAATGTAAGATGATGCTGCAGGATTGGACTTCATCGACCCCTAGATTAGAAATAGGAAGTGAAGTGGTAGAACACGTTGACCGCTTCACTTACTTGGGAAGTACCATCAGCCCCAACGGGTTGATCTCAGACGAAATTTCAGCACGAATACAGAGGGCTAGGTTCGCATTCGCCAGTTTTCGCCGTCTCTGGCGTAGACGCGATATCCGACTATCGACCAAAGGGCGTGTGTACTGCTCAACAGTCCGCTCCGTCCTCCTTTATGGCTGTGAGACCTGGCCATTGAGAGCAGAAGACATGAAAAGATTAGCTGTCTTCGATCATAGGTGTCTGCGTTCTATCTCCCGCGTGAAGTGGTATAATAAGGTAAGCAATATTGAGGTTAGGCGTCGAGTGCTAGGTAAGGAGGGGAAATCAATCGACGAGACTGTGAAATTACTTCGACTGAGATGGTTAGGACATGTGCTACGTATGCCTAGTCATCGCCTTCCTCGACGGGCAATGTTAGCTGATATAGGGTCAGGCTGGAAAAGAGCTAGCGGCGGTCAAACCAAAACATGGCACCAATCTATGAAATCCACAACAGTTAATCTAAGCCACGTAGGAAGATGTAGACTTCCTGGTTGGGGCCCTCGGGATGGTAAAAACCAATGGTTGGAAACAATTGGTGACATGGCTCAAAATCGTTCTCAGTGGCTGGCGCAGATGCATCCACTCCTTGTGACTTATGATTTCCAATTAAACTTTTGTTCTCCGTTATTACTATTCCTTTGTCTCACACCTCTGTTTACTGTTTCCATTATGCATTTCTTCTACTTCCTTCTCTTGCTTTGCGTGCTACATAGATTGTGGCGACTTGAACTGCCGCACATATGTGCAAAGTTCTATGTCGAAAACCGAACGACCGACCGATATATATATATATGTTTATATACATAGAATATTCTAGAATAGTAGTTAATAATGACTGCTTTTGTGGAGCCAGTTACATAGGCCGCACAATTAGGCGTGTTTCTCGTTGGATTTCCGAACATCACCCTGCATAGTGGTTAAGTAAAGGACAAACAAAATCCATTCATAACGCTATTCTATCTCATCTTGTGGATACAGAACACAAGATTGATGTTAACGAGGCTTTCAAAGTCATTTACCTCATACCAACAAATCTTAACTTCGCCTTAAGAGTTCGACTACTAAATATTACTGGGGCCGTTGGGATCCACATTAAGAAGCCTAATTTATGTGTCCAAAAGAAGCTAGTTCAGACATTGTCCTTACCTTGGCCATCTGGGTTCGAATGATCCTCAATTTTTTGTAGAAATTTCCTTAATTTTAGTTGGTATTCTATTTGCTATTATATTATTATTATTATTATTTAAGCATCTTTAATGAACTGTAATTGCATTGATCTTACTTAACCAATCGATATTATTTAGAAAACACTAATATTGTTGTTGACTACTATTCTGGAATATTCTATGTATATAAACATATATAATTGTAGAGCCAGAAGAGGAATTTATACTTTGCTCAATTATTTTGTTTTCTATATATGTCTGAATGAATATTTTCGCTATATTGAAATCATTTGTGCCTAAGTGACTGCACCAAATGTGTGTAGCGGACCAATGTCCTTCAGATCTACTGTGAAGTTTAGTGAAACTGCCACGTTTAACTATATATATATATATATATATATATATATTTCTCGTCAATCATAAATTGGTATTCGTTTATATCAAATTAGGTTGTAGGCTGTGCTACAACGTGTTACTCTGCTTTTCTCCTGACAACCATTAACTGAAGGTATTCAGTTGAATTTCACTCAAAAAATGTTGACTGGTCTTGCTTGAAAGTATATTTCTGATCGTTTAACTCTTTCTTTGAATAAATATCTTTGAATTCTCTTTGTGTCTTATTATTATTATTACTATTATCATTAGTAGACAGTTAAGTTCAACAGTATCTCTGATTCAATATTTGCCTTACCTACCTTTCAAATCAGTTTTCCTATTGTGCATAGAAAAGAAAAATTACCTAAGTGTAATACAATCACCAGATTTTGTTGATTAATTGTAGAGTTTTCTTCCCCCACACAAATATTTCACTTATCTTTTTACTTCTTTTTGCGTGTTGGTGAGTAATTATATTTATTGTGCATATCCCAATGATTAATCTTGTGGGTAGACATACTATTCTGGATTCGTTTACACACTGCTTCATCTCTCTCTCTCTCCATATATATATATATATATATATATATATATATATATATCAGCACCAGACAGTGATTTCGATTACTGAAAGCACAGAGTTTCTGACCACGTGCAGAAGTCAGTATTTTCCAAGTGTTATTACTTCTTCGCCTTTTTATTTACTTACCCTATGTTAGTCATCATATACATGCATTTGTGAATGTGTTTAGTCTCAGCTGCGTCACGTTCATTGCGTTGTTTTTTTTGTTATAACTGATGGTATTATGATTAAACAACTGCCCACATGTTATTTGCCTGTATGTGTAATTGTCGAGTGAAAACTACTGGTAGTATGTATACAAAGTGATATTCCATTTTTTTATCTTAACATGAATTATCTTATTTAATTGCTTTTTCATCTTTGATATTTATCCATAGGGTTCTGTGTATGAACGTGCTAATCCAAATCAAGATATTCCCAAGGGCTGTGTCTCACGAAGTATTTGGCAATCACAACTGCAAAAACAACAAGATTCATCAAAAGTAGTATTTCCTGTGAAGAAATCAGTAAGATAATATTGCCGTTTCTGTGAATTTCACCTATTGATTATTCTATTAGTCTTAAAATATGGAACAATAACACATTGTCATCTCCAGTTAAGATTACAAATCTTTTCTACTATTCCAAAACTGATTATAAACTTATTGTTATTATCCTCTTGAATTATGAGGGGGACATGGGGCTTCATCAGAAGGTCACCATTTCACTCTGTTCTCTACCGTCATTTTTAGCTGGCTTCACGATATCCATGTGCCTTTCATTTCCCCCACACACGATCTCTTCCATTAATCACCCTAGAATGCCCTATTCGTCATTTCCCATTCGGAGCGCCTTGTGGATGAAATCAATCAATGATCTCAGTATATGTTCAATCCATCTCCTTCTTCCTTCCGCGTATTTATCGACGATAGGTTCTTAGGTTGTTAGTTGCCAGGTCTCCTTGTTATTAATCCTTTCTGGTCATTTGATCTTCACTATGGAGCTAAGGCAGCCGTAGGTGAAAGTCTTCAGTAGACTGTTGAAAATACTTTTGGTAACGTGTGCATCAAGTTTCTGAATCACGTAGTGGCAGTAATTTGACATCAGTTCTTGAAACTCGAATCTTGTGTTAAGCGCTATAGTTCTCCACAATAATTTCAGAGTTATGAAGGTCTGCAATCCTAACTGATATTAGTTTTAGATGATAGGCAAATGTGACCATCATATCCGCAAGAAGTAAACCTCTGGCTAAGAGTTAGTTTAATTGAATTTTAGATTTTCCTGCCGATTGATTGGACGGGAAAATCTCGTGGCCCAAGTGGTCTAGTGGATAACGCTTTGGCGTTTGAAACTATGGGCACTGGGTTCGGGCCTCGGTGCGGGGAATGTCATCACTCACTGGGGAATGCAGGTACATCCAGATGATGAGTCCGAAATAGGACGGAATGCGCATCCTGGATTCCAATGCTAGTCACCATCCACCAAATAAGAGTTAGTTTGTTTAATTAAGTGGAACTCAACTGAATTACGTGTTATATTGATATCGTACAAGGTAACAGGAATCCGCAGTTGTTGTAATTTCTGTTGTAGAACTCTATTGCATTTGGGGAAAGTATCACTCTTTCTCTTATGGTCATAAAAATGTTAGTTGTTGAAATAAAGGGTCTTTCTGTGTGACTGTATAATTATTGTCAGAAACCTTTCAAATGGGTGGTAAATGGGAAATATTCCACGCTAGTTATTGACTTACTTCCAGCTTTAGATTTAAGAAGCGGTCATGTTAACCACTTTTCATTAACTATATTAGCAGAGTATTTACATTTGGTTAGAAGTCAGTCAGCCACAACAGTTTTCTAATGTACCACACTTATTGTGTGAGGACTAATGATACTGCCTAGGCTTCCAGGTTGAGGCCGGTAGGGCGAGATTTTATCTTTAATGCTTACGCCATTAACCCACACTAAACAACTCATATATCAACTTCACGTGGGTATGCTGTCATAAAGCTGCAAAGCATTCTATTATGTACATTGCCTGGTCACTAAGATGTAACCAATGTCATCTATCGTCTAGCCGTTAGTGTCGATGCTGATTGAATTCCATCAGTCACGTTTGTAGTATGATGACACCTGCAGCCGATTGCCACCAACCACCTAACAACATTACACTACAATATACTTCACTCTTAAGTTATTCTCAGTACATAGTTTTAGCCTTGGTGTATGCTTATTTTGTACATCGGTTGAGTTAGTGGTTCAGCGGTAGAACGCTCGCCAACCACGCACGTGTTTAAGGGATCGGTCCTTCTCCAACGCACTCCTAAACCTCACTAAGCCGGTAGTAAGGCCGGTAAAGAGGGAAGATTGAGTTGAGTTTGAGGATAGTAACTCCATCCCGTAAAAATAAAACCCACCGCTACCGAAACTTCGAAGCTCTAGCTTGAAGCCCAATGTTCCAGGAGGCATGTGAAATTAGATAACGTCTATTCGTCCACTGCTAGGCATGTTTGTGTGTGTGTGTGTGTGTGTGTAATACAGCCTAATTCTTCAGTCACTTAGGTTGGTGATGATTATAACCTTTGCAACCAAATATATCAAATGTTGAAGAATGTAAAGTTATTACTTTTAAACATATGATTCACTTATTTATTTATTTACTTATTATTATTGTCATTACAATTATGTAGCTGATCGTTAATTACGATTATTTTCTTTTAATTATTCAATTTTATTTGGCTTCTAAAAAAGCTTAGGTGTGTGTGTATATATATACTTAGTAATTACATATTTTCAGTGTATACTATGGTGGTGCACACTCACACACACACACATACAAGTAGTTGGTGATGCTATTTCTGTTTGTACCATTAGTCATTTTATTCATATGAGATGATGTATTATGTAATAAAGTAGACTATTTATTTAAATGGATTATAATGTGTTAAGCAAAATGTGACTGACAGAATAAGTGAATGATGCTTGAGTGTGATGAACGTGTTACAGGCAGTCACGTTTTGGAATATATATATCGAGAGTACTTCTCTCTTTCTTCTTTCTTTCATGCTTTATTGCATAATTCATTTATTGCATTCAGTGAATTTAATCTGCTGCTTATATTTCAAAATATCCACGTGTGTGTCTGTGTGCATTAATGTTTTATGCATAATTGCATATAACTACTAGACAGTAATAATCTTTGATAATCATCTTCGTTTCTAAGTCTTACGTTATATTTATTATTATGTCCATGAAATTTCAGACAAATATATATACATAGCTAACTGTAATATTAACAAAAAGTGTACAATAATTGCGTACATGTCCAGACTGCTTTTAGTGGTCTTTAGCTCTGATGTGCAGAACGGATATTGATATGTTATGTTACCTCTTATCTGTTGTTAGTAAATATTATGTAATACCTTGTATGTATGTATGGCATAATATCTGTATTAATTGATAATAATCTCTTGCATAGATTTGATTAACTTAAGATACTTTTTTTAAGCATGTCTCGATTTAAAAAAAAAACAACAACTATCAAATCTAAGTGAAACATTTATGCAGAGTTATCTGATTGATTCCTAACGTTTCTTTTTCGTTAGAGAATATTCATTACTTATTAAAACACAAACTTGATCTATTATGCGTACCAAGAGGATGTGTGCCACACAAATTTGGGGTCTGTAATTTGTGCTAGAGCTAGGATACTGTCCGGATGTCCAGATCGAAACAGGTGGTTGTCGTAAGGGAGCCGCTCTCGAGATTTTGGCTTGAAGCCTGATCCACAAGGCAGTGGAGCTGCGTTCCTATGGTTTCCAGTGACCAAAACACGTTCACATGCCATTTGATCTGTTGGGATTGTGGAGCTCATTTACCCCATAGGTCTGGTCTGAAATCAGGGTCTTCCAGCTCTCCTAGGTAGACATGCATGTCCACCAGTCCGGTTGTAAGTCCGGTAGTCGTTCGCGTCTACCCGCTCACTTTTGTAAGGAACACTCCTGTGGCGTGAAGGCAGTGAATTGTACTTATGTTGCAGAGGTAGGCTGTAAACGTGAGGCCGAATGAAAGTGGGCTTCGAGAGAACGACCGAAGTCTACCCAGCCTCGGGCGTACTTGGTCGTTTATGAGGACGTTTTGACAGTCCAAGATGAAAAGGATGTTGGTATCATTCATAGCAAGCTAATAAGTACGATGCATGGTAATGTGTTTCATTAGTGCTGATAATCAAATTGATAAAAATGGGTGTAATCACTGGGTGTTGTAGACATTTCAAAGGAGAGAGGGGCACTTATTACTAGTTGATCATGAGCTTTTCTGAGGGATAGTCCTAGTTTGGCGGACTGTTATTTATGCGATGGGTAATGATTAAAGGTGAAATAAAAATCTGGATTGCGCAGAATTCTAACAAGGTGTCTGCAGCATTCTACCAACTCAGCTGTGAGACCCAACTGCCAGATAGCTAGGTAATCATCAGGTAAACAGTGTTAATATGCTATTACTACTCTTTTGCATCATATTAGTACACACTTCCATGTTGAATCACTTGAAAATTTAATAATTCCAAATAGTCATCAATAAGTTTAAGATGTCTGTTTGAGTATTCGCTTCTTTTTGTAAGTTTTGTCAGTGTCCTTTTTAAAATTTACCATAATTTCGTTGTGGCAATGTAAATGTGGATCTTCGCTGATTACCTCTTTTTCCTACTAAAGACCTTTTTAGTTGACAAATTTACGTCATCAAAAAGGTTTTATAGATCCTCTTTCTATTCTGGTGAAAATCTTATAAATATTCTTCAATGTCATGCAACAACGACTGTAGTTAAATTGTTCTATGTGAACTTTTACACACTGTTATAGGTTCTTTGGCAGCTTGTTTGGTGGTAAACAAGTATGTCAGCGCCGATTCTCTTAATCATTTGCCTGTCTGTCCACCTAGAGGTCATGTAGATTGTCATTATTGATTAATAATGATTTTCTGTCTAATGAATCATTATTTTGGCATAAGCTAAAGTTAAAAGAGATTGAATAGTTTATATTGTATAAGCGTGAATCAGAAACTTTTCGCGTAGGTATAATGATCCTTTGACTCGGATCCTCAATTTGCAATTTATACATTTCGAGACAACAAATCACTAAAATTATTGAATTGAATTTTAGATTTTCGTGTCGATTGATTGGACCTATGTGCTCGGTCTCAGGTTGACATGTCGGCTTCTTGTGTAGATGCTTCGACGATGTCTGGGCATGTAATTAGAAGTTAATTGGTGGATGGTGACTAGCAGTGGAATCCAGGATAATGCACATTTCGTCCTATTTGGGACTCGTCAGCTGGATATATCCACACTGGGTTCGAGCCTCGGTGGGAACATCATCACTCACTGAGGAATGCAGGTATATCCAGATGACGAGCACCCAAAATAAGACGAAATGCACACCTTGGATTCCACTGCTAGTCACCATCCACCATTCCAAATCACTAAAATGTTTTTTTTGGAAACTGAAATTATTCACATCACGAAACGTGGCATC